CTTCAACCAAGCCAATCATACACTGGAGGACATGAACGTTGCTGTATTGAAGGCAGGCCTGCCATTCAGGAATACCGTAAGAAGCAGGAGATGAGGTCGATTTTATACACAGGTAGTCTATGGGTTTCATCCTGTTTTTAAAGCCTCAATACTGATATGTCTGAAGAAGAAGCGGGTCGTGATGATAGTTTTTGGTGGTTTTACGGTTTATAGTCTTTGAACGGTCGTTATTCGACTTCATATATATTTTACGGATTGATTTTTTGAGGGGTCTTAGTTTTCGTAATAACGAAAACTAAGAGGGGTCTTAGTTTTCGAAATTACGAAAGCTAAGACTCCTGAATTTACCGTTAAATTTGATCAAAAACTCGGAGGAAAGGATCGGACAGAAGATAATTTGACAGATTAGACCTATTTCGGTTACAATTTGACTTTATATTTCGACGGATTATATATATTATTATTATTTCATATTTCGATTATAGGGGGTCTTAGGTTTCGTAATCTCGAAAACTAAGACGGGTCTTAGGTCCTAGTTTTCGAGGGTCTTAGTTTTCTAACACCCTATAAAGGCTTACAGTATTTAAATTAATGGATCGATGCGAGGCTTCGGATTCTCATCAGCAGCTACCCACTATCATTTGACTTTCACAACTGAATGTATCCATAATGTATTTTATAAGCTTGTCTTACCTCTAGTAACAAGCGCTCGCCGCTTTGATCACAAGAGGGACGATGAAACCAAGAACTGGAGGAATGTTGCGATGGCTGCCATTTGACTTCACACTTCAAGATGTGCAAAAACCCGTGAGGACTGGGGACCTTTCTGTTTCTTCTGGGCCGCGACCGAGCGCAAAGTTAACGCGCCAGCCGCGCGAGCTATATAAAGTTTTTATTTTTTTATGTTATTTTTTTCATGGCGTATGAAAACCTTGCAACGATTCTAACGTTCTTAAACTCCACTGATGAAGGGCTAGGCCCGAAAAGTTTGGAGACTGAACTAATAGGGACCTTAAGTTTGGGCAAAGGCGGAAGGGCCACGAAGAGTGGGTGCGGGTCGGGTCGAAGCTGCAACCACTTGGATTGGAGCAAGGTGAGAAAGTTAATAGGCCATTTGCATTAAGAGGTCATGTGACATCGTTCTTATGAAAATGAAAGTTATATGATTTTTTCTTCAAAAAACGATTAGTGGGTCATATCTTTAACAAAATAATAGTGATTTGGTTTTTCAAACCCGCACCATTTTCTTAAAATGGCTAAGTTCTTCGCTGGTCACGTGACCAAAATGTTATTTTTAAAATTATGAATTACCTATTTCTGAACACAAATTTTGCACTTAAACTTCAAGGAAAATGTTGAAAAGTTGATGTGGGAACATTTACAGTACATCTGAGCGTAATTATCAAACTTTTAACAAGATCTAAGTAAAAATTAGTTTTTGGTGGCCAATACAAATGATACTACTTTGATGAAAACTCAGAGTGCCATAAAATATATCCATTAAACGCGTTTCCTCTCAAATTTTGGGAGTAAGATAATTTCTATGTGCTCTGTTAATTTTTGGTATCGACAAGATTCCAACACATTGTTTAAAGGAGGCATTGGTCACGTGACCTCTTAGTGCAAGTGGCCTATTAAGCTGCGTAGCAGACGCGGCTGTCAAATTGTTTTGGTTTGTTTTTGTTTTAAATTCGTAGCTTAGTTGGACTTATTTTACAGACGTTTGACTCAGTTTTAACAAAACTTAATGGTAACCTTTCAAGAAATCAGAGACCTTTTAGCTGTGGAATGCTTCGAAAATATCATAGATGAGGATGAATTTCTTTTACTCTACAATTTGAACATTTCCAAACATCTTGATTTTCCCTACGATGACTATGGCCGAATCGACCTAGAAGAGATGGATGATTCACAGTGCTTAACTGTTAAAATTACTGAAATGTTTTTGTTTTCAGAGGGCAGATGACATGATTCAGGGATGCTGGCTGAGTCCATATTACAGGCTTTGTTAGAACACCATGCTGTGTCTCCATGAGGCATGCCTATGAGTATCTATGGTGACCCCGTCTATCTAATCAGAACCCACCTGATTTCCCACTACAGAAATCAGTGGTGGATTCAGACCCTCAGATAAGAGGAGGGCGGTCATCCAGACCCTGAGTTAGGGAGGGGGCGGGGGGGGCTCAAAAAAAATTTTCTCGGCTCTTCGGGCCTTAGTCTCCTTCGCTTTTGTTTGTAGACCATTCGGGCCTCAGTTTGGTCTAAAAATAAGGGGGGTGGGGCGGATCCCCAGGCCCCTCCCCTGGATCCGCCACTGAAAATGTTGTGCTGACCCCTCAGGTCCCTCAGAAGCAGGCCTTTAATACTTCAATTAGTCAAGTCAGAGAAGCCGTACAGTAGCTTTTTCATGATGTTGCAAGTTCTTTTAAGTTTATAGATTTAAAAAAAAATGAAGATAGTCGGAAAAATGTATTTTGCTTGTGCTATTCTCCGAAATGCAATAACATGCCCCTATGGAAATATGACATTAGAGCACTTTGCTGTAGATTCGCCAAGTTTGCAAGACTATTTTATTTAAACCAACAATAACAGGCCTATTAAAAGTACAAAAGCCAAATGACAACTCATGTTCAAGTTCAAGTTTATTGCTTCCATCACTGATACATCGTTTACGTTACTGTAGACTCGTAACCATATTTTTATTGTGATGCGGAAGTCTATTAGTTTGCTACACAGCCGTTTTTAGTGTTGTCACGCAACGCTCCTCCCCACTAAGTGGAGGAGCATTGCGTGACGACACTAAAAACGGCTGTGTAGCAGACTAGGAGTCTATAGAAAAGCAAAATAATGCTTAAAACTATAGGTCCCTTTAAAACTGAGTTCAGCTACAACTTAGCTATGTTATCATTATTAAAACAAACTTAATGATGAGAAATAGAATTAATCATAACTTTATATTTTTTGATCTACAGTAATAGTTAACAATTATTGGTCGAGGTTGTGCAAAATATCGTGACTTGTCAGTGGCGACCTTCGGCTTCGGCAAATAATTGATCTGCGAGACAAAGACAAATCACGATATTTTGCGATAATTAAAACCGAGTTAAATAATTGTTTTGTCATTCGATTACCAAGTTTTACCAAGCGATCTGCAACTTTTCACGCCAGAGCGATCGCAAGAAGAAAAGAGTGGTTTTGTTTACGCATAAACGGAATATTATTTGCAACCAAACACAGTTGGACGAAACTGCGCATGAGCAGACCATTAGTTGTAGGCAGTTATTTGCAGGTCACGTGGTGGGCTTTCGGCCAATGAAAAGGAAGAACAAATTGCATGGAATGATAAATACAGTTCTCAGTGACAATGGACTGATTGTTCAGTTAGTTGCATTACGAGAAATGATCGTGTTCGGCAACTTTTCAGCAACTTTTGAAGTTTTGGGCAAGTTTTAGCCGGCGAAAACAGTTTCGCCACGAGAAAACCGTTGGAAGCGGCGAGGAATGAAACGGCTGTTTTCGCCGCCTAGGCAATTTTTTATTATTGCGCGCAACTTTAAGCAACGTTTGTGCAACTTAAGTGAATTTTTTGAGCCACTCTCGAATCCCCTTATTTTTAGACGATACCCAGTACAACCTCAAGGGCAGCTCATGAGAAAACGCCTTTTCAAGGCGTTTCGTTTTGTTTTTGACCCCTTAGTCCTTGCCCAAACCGGAACAGGACAGCAGCCATTCGTCCACAAACCTCACGTCAATTGTCATGATTAAATGTTGTGTTTCTGGCAAATGAAATAGAAAAATTAGGTTGGTAGGCAGCCCACAGTGAAGCACTTCCTCATTGGGCTGCTTTGGCAAAGAGGCTATTACTGCTGCAGTCGAGCTCCGCATCTGCTGAGAGAGCTTTTCGCCTACGGAATAACAATCTCGTAAAAAGACTTTGGGTACGAGATTGACGGAATAGCGAAAAGGCATTTGACGCGCAGCAAGAGAATGCGCTGGACTTACGAATATCCAATTATAAAGTGTCATCCGTTTTTTAACATTTGTTTATCCTTTTGAAAAAAGTTAATGCATTGCGAATTGGTTCATGCTTCGCGTGCGCATATCGAGTTATGGATGCACGGGGGACGTTGGAGAGCAAGAGAGCCTCGAGCAACTCAAGCTTCTTCTTCTTCTTTACACGATTGGATGTGTGTAACCAGTCAGTAGACGCGTTTGTTTTTCTGTGTCGCGCGTTACGAGAATTTCCATTTAATCAAAAAGCAAGCGTTTTTGTTGGCTATGTTGTAAAAGAATAAGTTCATGCTTTTAGCTGTGTGTATATCGAGTCATCGATGCACATGAGAATCATCCTAACAAAAATAGGACATGATTTTCAGTGTTCAAGAAGAAGAGCCTCATTAATCATCTCCTCTTGACAAATCCAACAAGAGACAAAAAAATGGAATGCAACAAAGACTAAGCCTGAAGTAGTTATTGAAGTCAAACATAAAAAGTGCCAAGCTAGAGCCAGTATTGTCGGTGTTGTTTGACAAATAGCATCTTTCTGTTCAGAATATCTGAAAAATGTACCCCTCAAGATTTTAATCCTTGTTATCGATTAGTATTCATTACTATCAATTGCTATGGATTTCCTTCATGAATAATATTTTTGTGTTGTGTGACCTTGATTTCTATCGAATTGCGATATAACTCGATAAAAATCGGTGGATTATATCGATTGATATTGATTATATTGACTGATTTCTTATACAGATTTCTATCGATTAACTACTGTACACCCGAAATGACTGTACAAAATTATTTGAATGATAACTGTGACAAAACACAAATTGAAATGCACAGTTATTTTTAGAGTCACCATCACCAATAACATCATGACAAAACTGACAAGAAACCAATTAAATTATGTATGTACAACCAAAACACAACTTAAAATGTTGTCCAAGAACCAAAACAAGACCAAAGAGAAAAACTTAAAACGGGCGAAACGTTTTTTGACTTTAAGAATCCTCTACCCAAACAAAGGTCATATGATTTTCATAATGTTGAAGAAGAAGAGCCTCACTACTCATCTCCTCTTGACAAATCCAACAGCTGTGTTTCTCAATTATGACCGATTGTGCATTTGTTACACCGGTGTTTCCAGTTTCTCTTTGTGTCCCCAGGTCGTTTGTAAAACCTATGGCCCTAACATTAGCGTTTTCACCTCCTGCTCTATTCTGTTTACATGATTCCGAACGTTTAGACAGACTTTTGTTTTTCTGGGAAAATTTACGCGACTTTACCAGAGTGTGTATGTTTTCACGCTTGCTCAAGTTTACTGCTTGATTAAACCACTTGCCACACTTCTTACATTCATTATGATTTTCCCCAGCGTGTTTTAGGTTTCCTGCCACGCTAAAGCTCTTTCCACACTGTTTACATTTATAAGGCTTTTCCCCAGTGTGAACTATTCCATGTCTCTTTAGGGTTGCTGCTCGACCAAAACACTTGCCACACTGTTTACATTCATAAGGCTTTTCCGAAGTGTGAACTATTTCATGTTTCCTTAGGCTTCCTGCTTCACTAAAACACTTACCACACTGTTTACATTCATAAGGCTTTTCCCCAGTGTGAACTCTTTCATGATTCCTTAGGTATCCTGCTCGGCCAAAACACTTGCCACATTGTTTACATTCATAAGGCTTTTCCCCAGTGTGAACTCTTTCATGATTCCTCAGGGTTCCCGTTCGGCCAAAACACTTGCCACATTGTTTACATTCATAAGGCTTTTCCCCAGTGTGAACTATTCCATGTCTCTTTAGGGTTGCTGCTCGACTAAAACACTTGCCACACTGTTTACATTCGTAAGGCTTTTCCGAAATGTGAACTATTTCATGTTTCCTTAGGCTTCCTGCTTCACTAAAACACTTACCACACTGTTTACATTCATAAGGTTTTTCCCCAGTGTGAACTTTTTCATGTTTCCTTAGGCTTCCTGCTTCACTAAAACACTTACCACACTGTTTACATTCACAAGGCTTTTCCCCAGTGTGAACTCTTTCATGATTCCTTAGGTATCCTGCTCGGCCAAAACACTTGCCACATTGTTTACATTCATAAGGCTTTTCCCCAGTGTGAACTATTTCATGCCTCTTTAGGGTTGCTGCTCGACTAAAACACCTGCCACACTGTTTACATTCGTAAGGCTTTTCCCCAGTGTGAAGTCTTTCATGACTTCTTAGGCTTCCTGTTCGACTAAAACACTTGCCACATTGTTTACATTCATGAGGCTTTTCCCCAGTGTGGACTCTTTCATGCCTCTTTAGGGTTGCTGCTCGACTAAAACACTTGCCACACTGTTTACATTCGTAAGGCTTTTCCCCAGTGTGAACTCTTTCATGACTCCTAAGGCTTCCTGCTTGACTAAAACACTTGCCACACTGTTTACATTCGTAAGGCTTGTCCCCAGTGTGAACTCTCTCATGACGCCTTAGGCTCTCTGTTTGATTAAAACACTTGCCACACTGTTTACATTCGTAAGGCTTTTTCCCAGTGTGAACTCCTTCATGAATCCTTAGGTGTCTTGCTTGGCTAAAACACTTGCTGCACTGTTGGCACTCAAAGGCCATTGAGCTTGTTCTTCTTTTTAGGGGTTATGGTTAGGGTACCTTTCAACAGAAAGGAGAAACATCATTAGTTACGGGGGTAAATGCACATTAATTGTTTTGTTGACGCAAACATAAAGTTTGTCGCCAGGTGGTGCAAAGTCTAAATGACGTAGTTAAAGGTGGTGTTGTCAAGGATATGTGGAAAATTAGAAAACTTGCTCAAGAAAAAGTGGTTCCAGATCATGCACCAACTGACTACATGACTAAAATTTTAAATGACCCCTTCAAAATGACGAATTCTTCGACAGGGGTCAGTTAATCATTTGCTCACTTGATATTTGGTTCTGAGAGTTCCCTGTGCTTTGGTAAATACGAGTAGCGTAGAAGCCGTACATAGTCAAGTAGTTTTTCTTTTTATGTTAATATTCAGTATATAGTTGTTGTTTCTTTCTTTCTTACTTAACCTTTATTTTACTTCGTTTCATTTGTCATCAAATTGATCGTTGTGGTACTGAAATCTTCATGTCGAAGATAAAGTCAATAAAGTTGTTGTTGTTGTTGCTGTTAAATAACACACATCTATAATTTGTAATATAGGCTTATCATGCAGCATTCATACAGACAATATAGTGGAACCTCTATGACTATAAATCCTCTGTTAAGCTCCCTTGGGGCTTATTTATTTCAAGCACACTTGAGTGGGGTGCGGGTTATCGAGATAGGGGAGCTTATTTAATTTAGTGAAATGCATTCCAACAACAACAAGTTCATTCAGTATTACCATTTTGTACAGGTGTTACCGATTAAAATAACGATAATAAACAGCTAAATTTAAGGAAATGAAGATATGATGGAACGTTAGAATTAACTATGTTTCTTTCGTCTTTCAAATGCTTGAAAGATGAAATTAGCAGCTAGCCTGCTGATATGTGAATCAGTATTGTTAAAAAGAAAACAAACTTTATCATGGATATTGTACTTTGTAACTAACGTATTTCGGTCGTTGATTTTAATAAAAAGAGTCTTTCTCAAATCATTGTATTGATCACAGTGAAATCATATGTGCAGTTCATTTTCAATCGAATATTGGTTGCAATGATCACAGATTCTAAGGTCTTCAGGAGTTTTGGGGATTGTAAATCTTCCAGTTTCTATTTTTAAATTGATTTCCTATCCTAACTTTGGAAGCTACACGCCTATGTTCAAGATTCCGGATATGATTGATGAATTCAGTTTGTTACCAGTAACAAAAAAGTGAAAGAAACAGATTAGAGTTATGACTCCCTGCTTCCTCTTTTGGACCAGGAAACAAACAAACAACCGGAAGAAGGTATCGATTCAACCTACAAAAAACTAGGACAAAACAAGGAAAAGCTCAAGCAGTTGAAGCTGGAGGTCACGTAGTTGAAGCTAAAAAACAAATCCAACTTTCCAGCGCTTGAATAAACCATACTGGATCAGTCCACATGAAGTGTTACAGTTGTGATTAATTGTCTCAGACGTCTATCGCTTACTTATTTGGTCTGAAGAATAATAGAGTTTAAACTAGGAATTGTTTTATAAGCACCCCTGAGAAAGTGTCCTGTGGGAAACGTCTTATTTTGTAGGTGGCCAATTTTCAAGAAAGAGGGGCACAGATATACGTTTAAGCTGAAATAATAGAGACCTTTCGTTCGATTCCGTAAACGCTAAGATGCCAACACGAGACATCAAATAACTATCTGGCTCCTTTTCTTTGGTCTAATCACATCAAAAGGAACAACTTTCTACAGACATTCTTGTCTTCTTCAATCTCGCACGTGTTTTACAATCGCATGATCCTTTACGTTTCCAGTTCTAGACCATTACATCATTAGCAACTATTTCAGAATGGTTGTCACGCTATTCAAAAACAACTGTCACGGAGGTTTCTACGTGTTTTCCTAAACTTAGAAAGTTTGCAAATCTTAAATGTTCTTAGATCTCAAATCTTTCTGCTTTTGACACCCTTAGATTCGTGGACGAGGACGACTACGAGTACGAGATTTGACTTGAAGTTTTTTCGCGTCTCCTTAAAATGTAGACTTCCCGGAAAGCTTCATTCTACCATTTTTCCCTAGAAAAAATAGCATTGCTATCTTTAGTGAAAGAGGTTACGAGCTCTCCCAATCGCAAAATGATAAAACTTTTAAAATTTAATATCTTGTTTTCGCCACCACGACATTCGCGCGAAAATTCGTAGTAGAATGACGACGGCTACCACTTTTTCGCGCCAAAATGACGCTGGGTCACGCGCTTACACTACTTAGTATTGAGGTAGGTAGGTAGGTATTTTATTTATCCACATTACACGGATGAGTACAAGACTCGCTTAAACGTAAACGTGCCAAATTACTATAAACACAGTACCTATCAAAACGGAAAAACAAGTAAAAAGAAAAATAATAAAAGAAAATAAATAAATAAATAAAAGAAAATAGAAAATATACGACAATCAACAAAGCTAAGAGGAATCTAGCTGTATAGAATCCAAATTATGTACAAAAGTTACAATTAAACTCAACTCTGGTAGTCAAGTTGACCTCACCTAGCATTGACTTACATAGTCAGGCAGATTGTTCCATAATCTTGAGGTGATGTAATGATATGACCTATGCATGAATCTACTGTTATAGGCAGGCTGATTAAGGTTGCAGAAGCCTCGAGGTCATATTCATTATTACGAAATAAGGACATCTCCTTAATAATATTCGGCCCAATATTGTATAAGCATTTGTAAAAAAGGGAAAGAGCATGGGAATATCTACGATGCTCTAGGACCTTTAGTCCCACATAGGTAAGTAGGTCGCTATATGAGGTTGACTTAGCCATGTTCAAAAGAGTGCTAATGGCGTACTGATTAGTAAGCTCCAGTTTATTAGAAAGACCAGATGATAACCCAACTAAGACTACAGTACTCTAGGTGTGGCAAAATAAGGGCCTTGTAAATATTAACCATCACTTCTGAAGGTACGAATTTACGAACTCTTCTACGAGCACTAACTTTAACCTTATCCTTATTACATACAGATTTAATATGGGCTTTAAACGATAGGGAGCTGTCAATGGTTAGACCAAGTAACTTCATATCGTGTACCACCTCCAAGGGTGGCCTAGTACAGTCATCAAACAATTCGTAGTATGGCGGATTGTCACCCAGTGGTAACACTTTAGTTTTAGATTCGTTTATACTTGAGTAATTACACTTGAACCATGACTGAAGCACATCGAACTTGCTCTGAGACCTTGTCTCTAACACATCTTGGTTAGGGTGTGATAGTTACAGTAAACTATCATCAGCATAAAGCCTTAGTTTAGCATCGTCGACAGAATAAGTGAGATCATTAATGAATAGGTTGAATAGAAGAGGCCTAAATATTGATCCTTGCGGAACACCGTGTTGGATTGTTTTCCAGTCTGAGTAGGTGTTTCCAATCTTAACACGTTGAAATCTATCACACAGAAATGAGCGAATAAGATTTACTGGATTTTCGGTAAAGCCATAAGCATTTATCTTGGAAATAAGTAGGCTGTGAGAGATTGAGTCAAAGGCCTAGGATAAGTCTACTGCAGTAGCAATACAATGATCCTTATTATCCAGAGAATCTCTGAAATCATCAGTCGTTTTAAGGAGAGCAGTTGCACATGAGTGACCTTTCAGAAAGCCAGACAGACTATCACCTAGTATTAACTTTGCAAAGTCATTTTTTTTTGGTCATGCAGAACTCTTTCAAAGATTTTAGAGAAACGTGTTAACACAGACACTAAACGATAGTTGACCTTATCAGTAGGACTATCTTTCTTGTAAAGGGAGCTCACATTGCTACGTTTCCACAAGCTTGGCCAAGCATTAATGGTTATGCAGTGGTTTATAAGGTTAGTAAGTGGAACTGCCAATGCCTTACAGGAAACAGTAAGAACAATTGGTGATATTTTATCCGGAGAAAATCTCGTACTAATGAATATTATTTCAAACCACTTTTAAAGGGGCCATGTCAGCTGGAAAGCATTTGCACTGAGTTTATGCAAATTATTTTCAACTGTCAAGGAACATTGTGGGAGATAATTACTCAAATTTCGATCCGTTTTAATTGATCAAAACATTAATATGCAGGCGAGAGTTTCAAAACAAGTCGGGCGTGTCCCGGGTATTTACGAACGAAAACGAACAGGAGTACTTTTAGAAATTGACGAAAAGCAAGAACTTCCAAACAACGTTAGCCTGCGCAGCAAGCGTTTCTTCGCGAGGTTCGTCTAGAAAGCTGGGACAAGAGCAAAAAAAAATGAATGACGGGGGAGGGGGAGGGGAACGAAAGAACCGCTTGCCCGTAAACCCCACGATTTTGAAAAACTGCGTTCGCCCACGAATGCAGCTTCTGATTGGCGCGGTGCGTGTAGTGTTGATTACTTAGCATTCGAAACATCAATCAAACCAGGCATGCTTTGTTTTCGTGCGTCATAGATCTGCTCTCATCTGATTTGTGGTCGCAGATTACAAATGCTTTGGACTGATATTTATTGGAATCGTGTTTGTGCGAAGGTTTATGAGATCAGAGTCTTCAAAGTATAATTGGAGATCGGGCAGTGGAGACTAGGGAAGGCCAATTTATTGGGAATGACGGCGTGCGGATCTGACCGGAAAAATGGACTGTTTGTTGGAGATAACATCAACATAAATCAGAACATCGGTACTTGACAGTAGCTAAAGGCGCCATGGACAAGCGATTTGTCAGCTTTTTGAAATGAAAAGATTCTTTTTGTTTATTGGAAATTTAGCGGCATCTATTGTAGAGAACGTTTCGACACAGGCTGAAGAGCAGCCACTCTGCAAAACTTATAGCCGGCGGAGTGAATTGTTCCGGACTAATCATCTTTGACGTGTCGACAAGGTTTCAGACGAGATAAAGCCACACAATAAAAAACAAGAAATTCCGCAGTAATCGCTCATATTTTTAACTTTCTTTTATCGTAAATCTTTTTTGTTACAGTTCTTACAATCGCCTGCAACGTGTTCTGTTAGGGAACAAAGTAATTTTACATATCTGGTAATCCAGGGGTAATATGTTCGTTATGTTTCTATTTTGACGAGCTGTCAATTTACAAATGAACCGAACCGTGAAATATCAAGGGGTGTTTTCCAGAATCGTGGGTTTTGCGGGCAAGCGTTTCCTCTTCTCCCCTCCCCGTCCCCCTTCAACCTTTTTTTGCTTCCGCTCTAACTTTCGCGCAATAACTCGATTGGAAACGCTTGCTACGGAGGCTAAAACAACGTAATCGTACCAAACTTTCAGAGAGTCTTCCTTAATTGTCAGACTAACATAACCACATGTTGAACAATGGATAAAGTGACTTGTCGAACAAATATTTAGCCTCAAACGTGCCCTCCCATACAAAATAGTGACTAAAGTAGCCGATTTTCAAAGCGAAAAGCCAGAACTTCTACAAGGACCACAAAGTCAGTAGTGGTTTTATACTTTTGTTTGACGTCTCTTGTACAACATCCATATGCTGACACTAATAGTTTTTATATAGTTAGAGCGAAAACATGACTGAGCCACTCTGAACACTTCCCCGCCTCCCTTCCCTCCGGCAAAAATAGGGGAAGGGGCATCTGTGATTCACCATTACTAATCGTGTTTGGAGGCCACATGATTTTTCCTGGAATGTGTGGAAAATGAATGGATTACCTGTTACTCGTAGCATCTGACCTGTCAACACTTTATTCTAAACTACCGGTAATGACTCTCTGCATCCAGTGGGAAGGCTTTCATAAGATCATGGATCTTTTTCTTTAATAAGAGCTTGTAAACACATTTTTCTTGCTCGGTATGAAGTAAACCGATTTTTAAAATGTCTCACCCTCTCAATTGCCCAATGGAAATAAGTCACATGAAACATTTTGACAACTAGAATGGCATGAAACATGAGCCACAGAAATTTTGGTCAGTGGAAACAATTTTTTTAATTTATGCAAAATTTTTCCCATAAAGGATTAGCAATGGTGAATCACAGACGCCCCTTCTCCGATTTATCATGAGGAGAGGGGGAGTCTGTACACAGGCTAGGCTAGCATGTATACCGGTACATTAATTTTAAAGAGTGAAAATCACTCAGTTATTGTTGAGAGTGATGAAAATCACTCAGGTTGGAAAGATTGATGTTACATAGATTTAACCCTTTAAGTCCCAATATCCACATACAAATTCTCCATACTGATTTTCATACATTTCCTTAAAGAATAGTAGTTTAGAGAGTTTGTAAACAGATCAAAACATTTTCTGTTAAGTGATCATTTTATGAACTCTCATAACCATTTGTCTTGGCAACATATGGATATTGTTAGGAGAAAATTGATGTTGGTCATTACTGGGACTTAAAGGGTTAATACTTCGAGATATATTGTAGAGAGTTGATCAGAAAATGATGCTGGATAATGCACCAAAGTAAACCCCAAACCGAGTAATCTTGATCTAGATTTTCATTGGGTATCAAGACACATCCAGCTGACCAAAATGGGGCACTCCGATTGGCTTATAACCGTATGAATAATTAATTAGTTTGAGAAGGAGCCAATCAAACTGCACAATTTTCAATCCTCCAAACAAACCAGGGTGGATATATAAACGCCTACAAAACCACGCAATACAGAACAGTTCAGAGTTCCCTTCAACCATCCCACCACATGGCAACTGATGAGAATCGTAAGATTTGAAACTGCTGGTCTTGAAGTGTAAACTTATATTTAAGCAACAAATCAACAGGAATACGTGCGAACTGAATAAATTGTCTGTTGTACATTTTGAAAGTTCTGCTCAACTTTCACAATTTTCCCCTGCTGAATATAAATTGTACTGAGCAGTATCTTGGTATCTTGGTATAGAAGCTACAGTGTATATCATCGTTCAAATTTAATAGCATAAAATCTCTGAAAAAGTTCTTCTAACTAGAGCAATATGTAAAAGATTTTTCAAAGGTTTCACAGTGGCATTTGTCAGGTTTAGTTTGCTATTCAGAACCAATCCCCACCTATAGCCCAGGGTGGGGGGGGGTCAGGTTTACTTTGACTGGTGCATAAAAATTTGTTGCCTTCTTTAAAGTAAGAGCACAGGGCACCCACACAATGGTTGTGTGTAACCGATTGTTATTTTATAGTTAATGTACTGGATTTACTGTTTACTTCATCTATAATGATATATCGCTAGGTATGTATATAAATCAATGTTAGATAAACGTTGAATTACCTTACCTGTTGTATATCAGCGTCTTTTTGCCTCAAACATGTTTTTTTTGAGCGATTTTGAAGGATTTTGAGTTCGCCGTTTACTGCTCCTAATAATAGAAGAACAAGCGAGGAATCCTTGTTTTGAAAGGGCTCCAGCACTAGAGCAGTTTTCCCCAGAAAATCGCATCACCCCGCAAAAAGGTCAAAGGATTCACGCTTCTTCTCGTACCTTCCCATCGAAAATTGATCCAAAAGGTCAGGAGGTAGCCCTTGAAGAAAATTAAAATCCCACAGTTTTTAAACGGTCAAAATGCATAGCAAGATTCATACGTCCCAGCCAGAAACTGTTCCGCTTATTACCTCTTTTTGAAGAAGAGGCAACGAAAGAAGACTTGGTAAGCGTTTATTTGTTTAACAACATCCGATCAAAAAGAGGCAATCAGTGGGACAGTTTCTGGCTGGCACCTATGAATCTTGCTACGCATTTTGACCATTCAAAAACTGTGGGGTTTCAATTTTCTTCAAGGGCTACCTCCACACTTTTTCGATGGATTTTCAATTGGAAGGTACAAGCAGAAGTGTGAATCTTTTGACCTTATTGACGTGAAGTTTAAAAGCAAAGTGATGCAATTTTCTAAGGGAAAATTGCTCCGGCACTGGAGCCCTTTCAAAACAAGGATACCTCCCTTGTCGTTCTATTATTAGAAACAGTAAACGGTGAACTCAAAATCCTTCAAAATCGCTCAAAAACCGTTTTTGAGGCAAAAGGACAACAATATACCACAAGTAAGGTAATTCAACGTTTCTTAATTTTGATATTGATTTTATAGACATACTTAGCGATATATTGCTATAGGTGAAGCAAACGGTAAATCCAGCACATTTACTTAACTACAGTTACACACACATTGCGTGAGCGCCCTGTGTTAAGAGACGCCCTCAAAAGGAAGAACAGTTACTCCATAGAATATATTTTCAGTCAAAGTGCAATAAAGGATACTTCTACGTTCGCACAATTTACCTCAACTTCCGCAGCTTACAGGGAGTGTAAAATGATCACAAATAAATTGGTTTATCGGCCCTATTACGCTGCAATAAGAATGATATGCTTGACTTACTACACTGGTTACTACAGGCCGTCGAGCCCGAGCGTAGTTCCAGTCAAGTGATCGATCATGATGTAAATTCCCTTCAAGTTGGCGGCAAATCCTTATTTCACAGCAAAAATGAAATTTCGTAGCATAGATATTGCGGTATCATTGAAAGATTTCGAACGAGGACTGCAATGTCCTATGGAAACCTTTCCTTGTATTGACCTGTAATCGGTAGCTGCGCAGCTGGTTCTGAATATGCTTGTTTGAGGTAAAAAATGATTGCATTTTTCACAACTGAACGTATCCTTAATGTACTGAAAGCTTGTCTTACCTTAACTAACAAAATGTTCCCGCCTTGATCAAATCACACGAGGCAATATGCAACCAGGAAACCCCCTGAAATTAAACAAATGGCCGCCATCTTAATTTTTGCCTTGTGAGAGAAACCTGGGGAGAGTGCAAAGTTCGGGTCCGAGGGTCGGTCCGGGAAAGATCGTCGGAGATCGAGGGCACTTTGCATTTCGTCAAAATTTCCGGAAATTTCGGTTCGGCAGTAAGTGGAAAACGTTTCGTCGGCTCGTCCCACTGGAAAATTCTCGGAATAAGTGGAAAATCTAAAAGGTAGGCCCGTTTTCCCGGTTGGAACGTTCCGAACGGAATTTCGTATTCCATTTACACATTTCAACTCGGCAGCCATCTTGGTGTCTCGTCGGGTAACGGGTTCGGCGCCGAACCGGAGCTTAACTTACGATCAAATGCAACAACTTTTGACCTATCGGAAAATCCGGGGTGCGTTCGATTGGGAAATCCGGATTTAGATTTTCAAAATCTAAATCCGGATTTCCCAATCGAACGCGAAATCCGAAAACGGATTTCACCTCCGAGAAATTCGTTCGCAGGGTGGATTTCAATTAAGAAATCCAAATCCGGATTTCATGGATTTCCTTTTTACCGTTCAATTGGGAGATCAGAAACTATTCTCGTGAACAGTGGTCTTCTTTTTTGCTAAGTATGCGTGCGCGTGCAAGACCGCTGATCGTAAGGACAGTTTTTGAAATCCTTTTTCGGATTTCTTAATCGAACGGTAAAAACAGATATCTCAGCGTTGAAATCCTTTTTCGGATTTCGCGTTCGATTGCAAATCCGAAACCGGATTTTAAAATCTACATCCAGATTTCCCAATCGAACGCACCCCATTTGTGTTTCCCCGAACTTTACAGATTTTTTATCTAAATGGAAAGCGCCCCTTCTGTTAGGGAGGGGGGAGGGTGGATGGGGGCTCTTCCTTCTTAGTGCAAGTCGTTTATCAGATAAGAGCTTTGAGATAGACAACAAGAAACGCGATTGGAGAAGAGACGGCTGGGCTCGTCGGCCATGTTCCTCCAGGCTGCAGCCCCATGAGTTATTTTTTCGAGTTTTTCAGGCAAGCAAGGCCAAGCCCGAGGCAGGTGCGGAGCGCCGGGGTGGAGTGAAATCCAAGGACTTTGATCAGATCGATGAAAAACCGTGACGGTCCTCGGTTACTAGCAAAATACAACAAAACGCATCCATATCTGAATCTGTGATTGAACTTTGACTTCTGTTGTTTTCCCGGGTTCCATGCCTTTCAAAGAGAATTCCATTCTCTTATAAATACGTCCGGTTCTCAGTGATAATGAACTTATTGTCAGTTGCACCAAAAGTTATGTTAAGCTACTTACTATAAATCAGAGGATGATGAAATCTGCTTTCAAACTTTCAAAATTGGTACGTGGTAGACGGTCTACCGTTTCCGGCGTAACCAAATCAAAGTGTTTTTTCATCGAACGACAAGGTTCGATTAAGTTCGGTGATCGAACACAATCGAACTCTCACAAATTTTAGTAATTAAACTCGAACCCAATTCAATTCATTGTTTATTCGCACTGTTTCCATAGATTACTACATATCGCACATCATTTAGACAAAGAAGAAAAAATAAACATATACACTGGACGAAAAAACGGATTTACCTCTATAGCAAATTTGGAGCAAATCATCTGCAAATGCCACATTTGCTTAATTTTGCTCAATTTTGCCACATGACACAGGACCAACTTTGCCATAATTTTGCATTAGTGGCAAAGGTGGTAAATGCCGAATTTGCCTCAAATTTGCCCCGTGTGTAAAAACAAGGATAACCTTTACTTTATCAAGGCATTTACAGGGGTGTCAAACTTGATAGCAAAACTGACATTTGTCAGGTTTTTGCCCAAATGGGCAAAAGCGATCGAAGATGAATTTTTGAATGCTTTTGCTCTCTATAGCAAATTCGGTCAAAGTAGTAATTTGCCACATTTTTGCTCAATGTAGCAAAAGTGACCAAAACTCATTTTTCAACAGTTTTGCCCAGGATAGTAAATCTGAGCAAAAATTCACTTTATTTGTGTATCGCCATGTGTTGTAAATGAGGTCAAATTATCACTTCTTCCGTATCTTTGCTCAGTGTGGCAAATATGATCAAAATAGGCGTTTGCCACTGTTTTGCTCAGGGTAGCAAATTTGGCCAAATACCACTTTATTCTCAATTTTGCTCAGGATAGCAGATATGATCAAAACAGTAGTTTCCCATACTTTTCCCCATTGTAGCAAAGTTGATCAAATATCAGTTCTTCTGTATCTTTGCTCAGGATGGCAAATATTGCCATGATAGCAGTTTTCCATACTTTAAGTAAGGTAAACAAAGTTGATTAAAATACCATACCATAAATGCCTGACAAACAATTTAGACACCAAACAAAATTTCAAGAATAAAATGACTTTATTATCTTTAATATACACTGTACAATAAAAAGCAAGATAAATTAAAAGAAAGTTCCATTGGCCTCTGCAGGGCACTGCATGTACCACAAAATATATGCCTTTAAATAAAAAGCACATACAATGTGAAACTATCTAAATTCATAAGTGTATAAGAATGTACATTGGGTTTGAAAGTGCAAGTCAACACTAGCTGGTTCATAATTATCTAAGGTTGGTACAGGTAAAACGTAACTCCATTTGAGTGGTATACTTCAAATATACTCTTTCTAGATTCAATTGATACTATTGGCAAATGGTTGTACGATGACAACACGTACACATCACTCCCAATGTAGATGTGACATCCTTACTAATGGACAGAACATCAACCACTGGAAATAAAATTAGCCTCAAATTATTATGATAAGCGATATTCCTCTAATTATTATTTATAAGAACTTGTTTTCATCTGATAAATATTATCCACTACCCAAAATGGGCAGTGAATAATATTATATAGTGTACCTAGTGCTATTCACTTACCCCAAGGGGAGATACATCTGTATGAATCATCTTTAACCAAATCAGCTATATATAAAAATATTTCTTGTAAATAAAACGAGTTACTATGCGAAAGCTCTGTGCATTTCTATGATTTGGGTACGACTTTGATATATTTTTACCCAGCAGTAAACACTTATAAGGTTAATTTTGTCACCTTTTTAGCATGTACATGTATTTTATTTTGCCGGTGCTTCATTTACTGCTAAACTTCTAAAACTAGCACGAAATGACACCCCCAATTTTACTCTCATCCTATAGGTAGCCAAAAGCTTTTCAAGTTATGAAAACAAATCTAATATCCACTGATTTGGTTAAATACTTGTATTATTATTATTATTATTATTATTATTATTATTATATCACTGTAAATAATATGATTTGGTGAAATTCTTGTATTATTATGTGACCATAAATAATTTATTACATTTATTTTTTTTAACTAAAATCAAATTATTTGCTAAAAATTTGAGCAATTTTTTTCTGATTCACATGATCAGCTGTTTTGCTTGCAGTATTGGACTGATTAAATATCCAAATTATCCAAACACAATCTATACACTATGAAAGCTCTTTAATTCATCATCATCATTATTGTTATTGGCATGCAGGTGATTAAAATTTAAGCCATGCTTATCAAAAAACTGTTATCACACACGGTATTTTTTTTGTGTGCATAAAACATAACTGCACTCTTTTTTCATAAAATATGCCAAGAACAAAATAGGATCATGGCATTTGGAGTCCAGTAATTACTCTACTATGGGGTGTATTGGCTAGATTTAGTCCTCGGAGTGGCACTATTTAAGGCAGCGCTTAGGGTAGCCCTAGGATCTGTCATGACTGCGGAAAGTGGATGCAGATGTATCTCCAATTACATATGTTGGGTGAATGGACACAACGACTGAAAATACAGCTGCATTTACAGGCTACTAGATGGAAGGTTTTTAAAATTCAGTAAAGTTGCCAAGTTACAGAGGGATTCGGTCCAAACTAACAAGGACAGCTCTGCAAAGATGGCAAATTTTCACTTCGTTGGCTTTGACACCATGCAACTTTGCGGTCCAACTGGGCCATTAAACCATTAACCTCAATGCTCTGCCAGGAAAGTGGACTTACACAGAGATTTTCCCTGTTTGGGAGGTCCTCATCTGAACCTGAAGAATTACCTTCATGCCACTCTGAAACAGCTGTTTCAGACAAAGACTCCTCTGATGACATATATGCAACGGACATACATGCACGGTACTTGTCCTTGTCTGACTAACTGATGCTAGTTGACTCCCTGAGAGCATATTGGACCTTCTGAAAGAAAAATGAAGAGCCATGATTTAGCAGCCAACAAGTAACCCACAGTTGGTAAACAAGCATATACTGCTCATACTCAGTGTAAATGATTGGGTTGCAGAACAATGACACGATGCTAAAAGCTGAAAACACTCTCTTAATCAAAGGAACAGTTTGAGGATATTTGTGAGAAAAATTTCCCCCTGCATTTTATTCCTACTAACTTTTTCATTAAATATATAATATGTTTTTTGGAGCAGGTGTTAAAGTAGAGAGCAAAATGCTTCTTTCTGTTGAATCTGCATTTGTTTCATTAAGACTCTTTTAAGTGTAAATAAAAACTGAAATAAATTAATTCCCTTGTCATTCAAGAGCAGAACTGATAGTGTCCCACAGGTCACCAGGCTCTAACAGAGCACAGCCATGACTCAACTGTACACATAAACCGTAAAACCGGTCAGAACCTGAGAAACGTAACATTAAGGCAACCCACATGTTGCTTAGAACAATAATTAATTAATTGTGGTTATTTGGCATGATAAAGCCAAAGCATTTACTCACAAAATGAATTAACAAAGATCCCTCAACATCATTGAGCTGTACAAAAGGTATAAATAATGAGGTATTGTCATCTAAAATGTGGAACAGTAATACAGTGGTCACTTGGAATGACACTTATGCTTCACGATCTGGCAAGTGCCGTCATTCGCAAAATGAGCCAAAATTAAGATCTCACAATATCACTGAACCATATTTATAAAGCATAAGAGTTTTGGATGGTACAATATTTATGAAAGAAGAATCACTTGTCATTTAAATGTGGAACAATAATACAGTGGTCACTCAGAATGACACATAGGCTTCACTCGCAAAATGAACCAAAATTAAGATCTCACAATATCACTGAACCATATGTATAAACCATAAGAGTTTTGGATGGTACAATTTATGAAAGAAGAATCAATTGTCATTTAAATGTGGAACAATAATACGGTGGTCACTCAGAAGGACACATACTGTAGGCTTCAAGATCTGGCATACACCGTCACTCGCAAAATGAACCAAAATTGAGATCTCACAATATCACTGAGCCATATGTATAAACCATAAGAGTTTTGGATGGTACAATTTATGAAAGAAGAATCAATTGTCATTTAAATGTGGAACAATAATACGGTGGTCACTCAGAAGGACACTTATGCTTCACAATCTGGCAAGTGCTGTCATTCGCAAAATGAGCCAAAATTAAGATCTCACAATATCACTGAACCATATTTATAAAGCATAAGAGTTTTGGATGGTACAATTTATGAAAGAAGAATCACTTGTCATTTAAATGTGGAACAATAATACGGTGGTCACTCAGAATGACACATAGGCTTCAAGATCTGGCATACGCCGTCACTTGCAAAATGAACCAAAATTAAGATCTCACAATATCACTGAACCATATGTGTAAACCATAAGAGTTTTGGATGGTACAATTTATGAAAGAAGAATCACTTGTCATTTAAATGTGGAACAATAATACGGTGGTCACTCAGAATGACACATAGGCTTCACTCGCAAAATGAACCAAAATTAAGATCTCACAATATCACTGAACCATATGTGTAAACCATAAGAGTTTTGGATGGTACAATTTATGAAAGAAGAATCACTTGTCATTTAAATGTGGAACAATAATACGGTGGTCACTCAGAATGACACATAGGCTTCACTCGCAAAATGAACCAAAATTAAGATCTCACAATATCACTGAACCATATGTATAAACCATAAGAGTTTTGGATGGTACAATTTATGAAAGAAGAATCACTTGTCGTTTAAATGTGGAACAATAATATGGTGGTCACTCAGAAGGACACATACTGTAGGCTTCAAGATCTGGCATACACCGTCACTCGCAAAATGAACCAAAATTAAGATCTCACAATATCACTGAACCATATGTATAAACCATAAGAGTTTTGGATGGTACAATTTATGAAAGAAGAATCACTTGTCATTCAAATGTGGAACAATAATACGGTGGTCACTCAGAATGACACATAGGCTTCAAGATCTGGCATACGCCGTCACTCGCAAAATGAACCAAAATTAAGATCTCACAATATCACTGAACCATATGTATAAACCATAAGAGTTTTGGATGGTACAATTTATGAAAGAAGAATCACTTGTCATTTAAATGTGGAACAATAATACGGTGGTCACTCAGAATGACACATAGGCTTCAAGATCTGGCATATGCCATCACCATAAAATGAACCAAAATTAAGATCTCACAATATCACTAAACTATATGTATAAACCATAAGAGTTTTGGATGGTACAATTTATGAAAGAAGAATCAATTGTCATTTAAATGTGGAACAATAATACGGTGGTCACTCAGAGGGACACATAGGCTTCAAGATCTGGCAAGTGCGGTCACTCACAAAATGAAAAAAAATTAAGATCTCACAATATCACTGAACCATATGTATAAACCATAAGAGTTTTGGATGGTACAATTTATGAAATAAGAATCACTTGTCATTTAAATGTGGAATGATAATACAGTGGTCACTCAGAATGACACATACTGTAGGCTTCAAGATCTGGCAAGTGCCGTCACTCGCAAAATGAACCAAAATTAAGATCTCACAGTATCACTGAACCATATGTATAAACCATAAGAGCTTTGGATGGTACAATTTATGAACGTAGGAATCATTTTTCATTTAAATGTGGAACAATAATACAATATAATGGTCACTCAGAATGACACATATGCTTCAAGATCTGGCAAACTTATGCCGTCACTTGCAAAATGAACCAAATTAAGATTTCAGAATATCACTGAACCATAATTATGTATAGATGTAAAACAAGAGTTTTTGACCGTAAAAATTTTAAAAGGAAAAATTAATCATTTGTCATTTGAAATGCAGTAGAATATTAAATAATAAATTATAGTGACCACTGCTTTGTCAAGTGCTGTCACCTGAAAAGTACAGTAACCCCATGACAAAGATCTAACATATTAACTCAGCTGTACAACAAGCCAAATTACTGAATTATGGGCATGCTAAGGTCACATCACCGACTTATGTTGGTGTAAAAGAAATGTTTGCCTGCACAGCTCAAGATCTGGCTACTTAAGATTATTCCATTAATGAAGACGATGCGCAACAAAGAGTACAGTTATTTCTGCAGTAAACAAAAAGGAATCAATCAATGGCATATCTGTGCATGCATCTTAAATTTTAAGATTTATCTTTGAGGTTTTAAGCTTACGCAAAGTTATTAGAAAACCAAAGTAAGTAAACGAACCACGATATCAAGAAGAACATACCTTTCTGCAATCCAGCTGAGTTGATGACTTGGAAACAGGCTTTATATATGTGAAGAATATCGCAACTGATCACTGTCTCTCGAAAATAACAAAGGTATAAATCGTAATAGAACAGCTGAATAGAAAGACAGGCTTTCTATTATCCGAAAATAACAAAACTACTCGTTTTGCAACGCTGTATCGCTTGTGAAGTCCGCGTGAATTTGAACTGTTCAACGAAAGTTTATTTTACACTATTCTATTGGTTCAAAAGCCGCACGTGACAATGTAAATCAAATCGCGCATGTGCCGAAGTCACGTAGAAGCCTGGGAAATAACAAACATGGCGGCTGATCTTGCGACGGAGTGCATTCAGGACTACATTCACCCGGACGATGAAACTCTGCAATCTACTATTGAAGCGACTCCTGGGTTCAAACCTTCCACATATTGTGCATTTTGTTCACCCAGATTGTAAATGGTAACGTTTTACGTCAGGGCCTCCTATTCCGAGACTTCTTGCGAAATTTTTTTTTTTCGAGCCACCGACCCAATATCAGGAAACGTATTCGACGCTAAACGAAAAAAAAGAGGGGATGGCCTTACCCGAAATAACCAGCTGCAGCAAGTAATATGATAAACTTTGAGAAGAATGTGATGGTGATTGAAACGAGGCAATGGAAAATCAAAACTTGCGTGAAATAACGCTGTGAAGTTTGGTAAATGTGCAAACGTTGGTTAAAGTGGTCGTAAAGATAGTTCTTTGATCATATTTTGCTTAAATTTACGCCTCTAGTAACCATAAATTTACACAGTAACTTTGCTATGCCAGAAAATATCAAGCAAACATTCATTTTTGACGTTCGATTTTTACACAGAGAACAAAATGGCGGCAAATTTGAATCTAAACACCAAATTTACTATGGGGAGCAAAAGTGAAACAAAATATCTGTAAACTTGATATTTACTCCACATTTACGCCACCCTTGCAGAAAAGTAAACTTTCACGTTCGAACAAAATTTGCACCAAGAACAAATAAGTAGCAACATTAGTACCCTAAATTTACAATAGATTTGCTCAACTAGCAAACTTAGGCAAATCCGTTTTTTCGTCCAGTGATAGTAATAGCAAGAAGAGAAACATGATCAGTGAGTGCACAGCAACCAAAGGAGCTAAGGCGTTCGAGCTGGTTGCCGTAATGATAGAATAATATCAGGGGCGGATCCAGGATTTTTTTTTAGGAGGGAGTGCACTCGTCTCTTGCTCTACTTCAACACCAATAAACCACAAAGTTTTTTTTTGCAGAATACCAGTTGTCAGATAGGCTCCTGCAGTTGTATTAGAAAACCGCAGGTCATCTCAGGAGCGGGGGGTGCGCACCTCCTGCACCCTCCTCCTAGATCCGCCCCTGAATATATTGAGTTCCATTAGGTTGGATGGTCGAACTTTATAATCGACTGAAAATGGGTCGTTAATACTGGAAAATTGAGCGTGTTTTGCAGAATGTTACCTTTTCCTAGGGTGTGGTTTTGGCGAATCAGTGTACAGTATAGCGTATTTTTTGCAAGAAGAAGAACAAGAATACCCAGGAAGAACAAGACTATATTGCCATATTACAACTTTATCCTCAATCACAGAGTGAATATCATGCTTCGTTAAAGAGGTTTTCTTTTTTCTTTATAGCGTCCCTTTTAGGCAATGCCACAGTCATTCGCACCGGCACGTTCAGGCCTCCTCCACTATTGTATCGGCCACGTGGACCAGGCAAACTGAGCAGCGCTACAGCAAAACAAAGCAATCGAGCGAATTCAATAAACTCGGAACATTTATTCTTTATGATCTTAGATTGGTCAGCGGTCAGCGATGATGATGGCCACGTTTTTTGAAGCTATAGTTTGCGTTGCCTTTTTGTGTCTTTAAATACTTTAGTTTTTTTCGTGTAAGAGTTCCTGTGTAAGAGTTCCTGTTGTCTTTTATTTGAACATGTCAAAGAAAGGAAAGAAGCAAGACGTGAATGACGATAGTTTTCAATCGTATGTGAAGGACTGCCTGGAAACGATTCGACAGGATGTCGAAACCATAAAGAACAATCAAGCAAAATTCAAAGAAGACTTGAAAACTTTCGAACAAAAACTCGAAAGAACTACAGAGTCGCTTAACCTAAAGTTCGATACTCTAAACGGCGAATTCCACGTGGCCATGACCAGAGTTGACAAATTGTTTGTGTTTTAATAAATAACCAAAACTACAAAAGAATAAAGTCAATCTTGTTAAAGGGCCATGATTAGTTCTACTATAATGTGCCCTTCTCCATTCTAATTTTCTTCTTTTATTATCATTATTATGTACACGTAGTTTAAGCAACTTTGTACCAATTGATATTGTACAACTAATGTACTATTAATATTGTACAACTATTGTATTATTGTACAACTAATGTATTATAGGATGGAGTAAAAAACAATGATCTTAGTTAATCTGGTTGTTTTGTTGCTTTGTTCTTGTCTATTTTGAGCGTCGACACTGTGATCCACAGACAAACAGACAAACAGCTACTCCCAAGTCAAAATTCGTCAAAATCTGCCACCCTAGTAACTTCAGTGTGATACAATGCAGACAAAAACCAGTTTACATAGACTTGGATTACAAAAAACGAAGCACACGAAGTATCATCCAGCGTATGTGAGAGAAACTAAATCTGAACAAAAGGTTGAGTTTGATCGTCCGGGTGAAAGTAGTCCTGAATAGGAGCTTGGCTTGACAGTCGAAAGACGGTTGTGAAGAAGAAAATGGGGGGAGTGGATTTTTGGATCTTTTTCAGCTTACTGGTTTTGTTGAATGAGCCATTTTTCCAGCGGGTATAATCACATTCACTTATGGCTAATAATTGTGAAAAGATTTTTTTTACGAGTTTTTAAATTCAGCTTTCAAATTTCGCGCTTCATTGATTTATTTTAATAACTAATACACGCACTCAGTGGGTTATTAAGTTCAAAGTGGTAAAGTCAGCATTCAAAACTCGCGCTTCGTCGATTCATTTGAGTAAATTCACACCCGGCTACCCGGGGAAAAAAATCTTTCATTTCAGTTTCCTACAAAGTGTTTCATCGAAAAGAGCGGGACATACTGTCGCTTTTGATTTCGCTTCTCAAGGCTTCCTTGCTTTTCACTGTGTTATCAAAAAAGCATTTAAATTCGGTGCTTCAGTTGTCTGACAAAGAGAATGAATAAAAAGTCTCATATCCCATTCAGCTATTGAACTAAAGCGTGCCCTGTTCGTGCCTTGTTTTATCCGCACGCGTGCACGTTCTAATCCTACTTCTGCGTAAAGGCGTTTTCGTCATGAAAACTTGGCTCGACTTTGGAATTGTTCTATAACTCTTCTAGCAATATTTTTCTTTTCTCGTGCTTACTGGCAATGAAATATTAAAGGCCAAACAAAAACAACAGACGACAAAGTCACGCATCTCATTCAACTCTAAAACATCTAACCTTGTGTGTCTCATTTTTCTGCAAATGTTTTGTCTGTGATCGAACTCGCTTGTCCATTTTTTTATAGAGAGGAATTGATGGAGAGTTCATTGCCCTCGCCAATACTAACAACAATAAGCGAACAACAATGATCCCAAAAATCTCACCTTCGTAAAGTTCCGGCCACAGGCTATCGAAGCATTTTGTTGTTAACGTTTCGGAATGCTCGTAAAAGTAAACTAAAGACTAAAATCGTTTTTCTTTTCTTTTCTCGGGAGAATGAAGTTGCGCACAAAAAAAAAGTCGAATAATTTTTCAGCAGGAAAAGTTTGTGGATTACAAAGGTCTTAAAAACGTATTCTGGGCCGCTTGGGTGAGAATAAGAACGAAAGTCGTTTAATCTTAGAAAAAGGTATGGATTACACTCAAAGATCGCACCTTTGAATGTAGGACGCGGAAATAATAACCTTGTTTTAATAACGGTTTAAGAGCGTTCTCTTTAAAGTATTTCTGAAATCACATTATTTTTCTTCAGAGCTCTCAGTATAAAAGCACGATCCGATCAAAAGCATCGCTCAAGGGAAAAAACCTCTCTCCTCCCCCTAGTATTACAAATTTGTCGCGCTGAAGATTAAACGATCATGCACAGACTGTTCGGTCTTTTTTCAGCAGTATCACCTCGGACAAAAGGCTATTGTTTTAGTGAATTGGACCCGGTACAATAGACCATTTATCAAGAAAAGCGGGTCCAATTCGAAAACAATAGGTATTGTTTTCTGTTGTAAAATTGGCCATATTTGGTCGTTTTTAAATTGACTTAAACAATGGCGTCTTTACACATGCAAAATTCCGATGACTACCGAGGCGGCAAATTTGAAACTTCGGCGAGTGTCAAGGAGTGAACAATATTCCTCGGGGGGAGGGCAAGGGTTACATTTGCTTCAAAACGAAACTAACTTAGAGGGAGAGGGACAAAAATACTGTCGTCACCCTATCGGTTCGGTTACACAATAGACCTTTTTACCGATACGGAGGCCATATTGAATTAATTCGATTTAAGGAGTATTATACGGTGCCCAGGGGTGTATGAGCACATTTCTTTTGTATTTTCGAGCGCTTTTCGGGACATTTTTTCGTAAAGTTTTCTTAGAATAAGATTGCAATGGGAAAAAAGATCCTTGTGCCGTGTTTGGATGTAATAATGATCGCCTTTTTCTCGAGAAACATACAGCGAAAAACCATATTTCTAATACTAATATAGAAAAAGGCGATCATTATTACATCCAAACACGGCACAAGGATCTTTTTTTCGACGTATCGTTAAAAAGGTCTAATGCAAAGGTTGTTTAAGGCCTTTTGCGAATATTGTTCAGACTGCATTCAAAGATTTAGAAGTCCCTTAGTATATTTGTGTTTGGACTTTACAGAAACTATTGGTTAAATAAAAAGAGTTTTTAAACTCTTTTTTTAACAAAATGCGGAGAATCAGAGATAACTGGCGAAAGTCGTTTTGCTATAATCTTCTTAGGTCATCAGTAGTAGATTAATGAAAAAAAAAACGGCGAGAGGCGGTGATGAACATGGTAAACCAAAGCTTTTTTCTATAACCCTAACGTCAACTATGCCTCATTTTCAAAATTGATTGTGTTATTGTCAAACTTCTCGATTATGATTGCGGGGGTATCAAAAGCCCGCAAAATTTAATGGTTTATTTTGACGCAACACCAGAACCGTCCGATTTGACTTGTTCAAGACATTGTTGAAATTCTAGCCTGCGGAGCAAGCGTATCCACGCGAGAAAGTTAGGAATAACGTCCCTCCCCTCCCCATTCCATAGTTTTCTTCGCTCTCTCTCTCTCTCTAACGTTGCGCAATAACTCGAAGAGAGGTTACACCCTCTCCCCATCGTAAAATGATAAAACTTCTCACATTTGATAACCTGTTTCCGCCACTTCGACATTCTCGCCAAAACTCGTAGTACGGTGACCACGGCTACCTAATTTTCCGGCCAAAATAACGCAGAAAATCTTGTTCTCGTTGTCGTACTCGTCTTAGAATCTAAAGGTCTCTAATAATCTGAAAAACAGTTTCGACTTCTCTGGAAATTGTTACTATTCGTTGTGTATAACAGGTAAATTAGTGTGAAGTGGGTTTGATCTCAGCCAGAGTGGTTACCAGGCAAGGACTAACAAATAATAACACTCACCAAGAGATCAAAGGCATTAAAAATCGAATTTGAACCACCAATTACGTGGGGTTTTTTTGGAATTATTAAGTCGACCACAAAGTTGTAGTAGTATCAGGCAACTTACTGGAATGGGGCACTTTAATACAACTTAATACATAGGGCCTTTCAACACCAATAAACATTCTACAAAAGCATTAATAAGGAATTATTTTTTTATTATTATTAGAAATGGTAGTTATGGAGTTATTATACATTGGAACCTTGATTTAACGAAGTGGCAAGGGACTGGGGAAATTTGTTCGTTATATCGAACACATCCATTTAAGGAATTTTCGGGAAAACTACCAAAATGTTTGATATATCAAGTAATTTAATTTACAAAACCCATAATTTCCGGATCTCAGAAATTATTGTAATAACATTCCAGCACTGATCGAGCTGTACATAACTACGGCACAAGAAACTCAAGAACAGGCAAACATAACTGCTTAAAACTATCCTACACATAAACTTTGTGGTCTGTTTGGTATTCACCTTTTATCACATGCTGCGGACATTTATTCGTTATATCGAGGCATATTTTACCAGGGGCACCCAACGAGAATATAGTTCAAAACCACTTAAACATAGCATTGTTAAACGTATTTTAGTATTTAAACGGTAGATATAGGCATATTTTTATCCCCTAAAAATTTTTCATCTGTTCGGATTTCCTAGCTGAAAGTCTCGAGATCCGAAAATCATAGGGATCAAAGCTTACCTTTTCGAAAATTTCAGCCAGAAAAAAGGCTCCCGAAAATTCTAGGTGAGCTTTTTAGGGTAAAAATCCGTTTAAAATGGGGAATTACACCAATTTTTAGATGCTCGAAAATCCTAGGAGAGGTAGGCAAGCAAGAAATTTTACAAAAAATGTTCCGAAAATTCTAGATCTCAAATCGTCTTCTGAACAGATATTTTCCGAAAATTGCCTTGGGTGCCCCTGATTTTACGTTTGCGCTTGTGGATTGTGTTCGTTATAACGTGGATTTCGTTAAATCGAGGTTCTCTTCCATACACGTTACTGTAACCGAGGTTCCACTTTAATAACTGGAGAGTTCCAGAAACCACGGCTATGAGAACATCATAAATACAAGACTGTAGAATATGGATGAAAGTAGGAAATCATTTTTTTACACTGTAAGAAAAAAGTCTCTTTCTATTCGTATCATGAGAAGTGATAGGCTTCCATAAGTGCTCACGTACAATCTAAGGGCTAAATCTTAAAGGCATTGACTTTACAGTACAATACAATACAATAATTTATTTAACCACGTTATCATCTAAAAGCACAAATGCTTGTTCAAAATACGAACGTGCATTAAATCTACAATTACAATAATAATATCAAGTATAAAAAATAAATTTATCATTTATAATCTATGTACACACGAATATAAAAAAATTCTAAAAATTACAAAAAATATATAAAAATGTAAAAATTACAGCTGAATTGCTCTTAGCTTAGACTTAAAAAATATTAACATTACCGGCCAGCTTGAAATCTTCTGGAAGTTTATTCCATAGTTGAGCGCACTTGTAAGTAAAAGAGTTCCTCATAAAATTAAGATTAAATTTGGGAACGCAAAGATTAACACCACTTCCTCTTAAATTGTAAGACATTTCTCTTATGCTAAAAAAGTCTCTAATGTATTTCGGCCCTATAATCCTAATGCATTTAAATACTAATTCATTGAACTCGAGTTTTTCTTTTATCGAAGAATTAACACAAAAGCTGTTCTGTCATCGTATATCCCAACTTGATAATCATACATATCAAATGAACCGCAGGTATTAAGGCATCATGCGTTAAATTACAAAACCAAACATTTAGAGTTGAAAACTTAAAAATGCTGTCAAAGCACCAAAAAAGGAGAAAAAACTTAAAAGGACCAAAACGTTTTTTAACTTCAAGAATAATCGTCACAAACATAGGTCATACGATTTTCATAATGTTGAAGAAGAATAGCCTCACTACTCATCTCCTCTTGACAAATCCAACAGCTGTGTTTCTCAATGATGACTGATCGTGAATCTGTTACACCAGTATCTCAAGTTTCTCTCTTTGTTTGCTGGTTCTCTGTAAAACCTGTGGCCCTAACATCAACGTTTTCACCTCCTGCTCTATTTCGTTTACGTGATTCCGAACTTTTCGATAGACATTTGTTTTTCTGCGAAAATTTACGTGTCTTTTCCTGAGGGTGGTTTCTTTCATGCTTCCCCAGGTTTCCTGCAACGTTAAAACACTTGCCACATTGTTTACATTTATACGGCTTTTCTCCAGTGTGAACTCTTCCATGAATCCTTAGCGTTCCTGCTTCACTAAAGCACTTGCCACACTGTTTACATTCATGCGGTTTTTCACCAGTGTGAACTCTTTCATGAGTCCTTAGACTGCCTGGTGTGCTAAAACACTTGCCACACTGTTTACATTCATGTGGCTTTTCTCCAGTGTGAACACTTACATGACGTCTTAGGTGCCCTGGTTGACTAAAACACTTGTCACACTGTTTACATTCGTAAGGCTTTTCCCCAGAGTGAACTCTTTCATGAGTCCTTAGGCTTGCTGCTTGACTAAAACACTTGCCACACTGTTTACATTCATAAGGTTTTTCACCAGTGTGGAATCTTTCATGAATCCTTAGACCGCCTGATGTGCTGAAGCACTTACCACACTGTTTACATTCATATGGCTTTTCCCCAGTGTGAATTCTTTCATGAGTCCTCAGGTGTGCTGCTAAGCTAAAACACTTTCCACACTGTTCACATTCAAATGGCTTTTCCCCAGTGTGAACTCTTTCATGACGCTTTAGGTGTCCTGCTTTGGCAAAACACTTTCCACACTGTTTACATTCATAAGGCTTTTCCCCAGTGTGGACTCTTTCATGTTCCCTAAAGTGTCCCGAATGGCTAAAACACTTGCCACACTGCTGACACTCAAAGGACATTGAGCTTGTTCTACGGTCAGGATGCCTTCGGAAGGAAGAAGAAGCATTATTAGATAAATGCAGCACATTATTTCTATTGTTGCCACCAGCATAAACTTGGCAGCCAAGTGGTGCAAAGCCTGAAGTGAGTAGTTTAAAGGTGGTGTTGTCAGGGACATGTGGAAAATCAGAAAACGTTTAAGACACCCACTCATGAAAAAGTGGTTCCACACAATAAACCAGAGCGGACTGCACACCTAACATTTTACAAGAACCCTTCAAAATGGAGAATCCATTGACAGGGGTCAGTTAATTGGTAATTAAGGCTCTTCATGCAGCATTCACACAGACAAGAGTAGAACTTGTATTACCATAAATCCTCTATGAGACTCTCTGGAGGGCCATGTTTGATGGGGGTGCTTAACAGAGAGTGAGGGGGGGGGTAATTTAGTGAAATGCGTAAAGCAAAAAAAGGAGACAAAGAAAGAGACTAAAGTAACAGTTCCCTACTTCCTGTACTGGACCAGGAACATTAACAAACAACCAAACAGCAGCCAGAAAATGACATCAATTCTCCATAATAAGATTGGAATGCAAAGTGGAGACACTCAAGGACATGATGTTAGAGGTCATGCAGGTAAAGATAAAAAACAAATCGCACCTTCCAGCTCATGAATAAACCATACAGGATCACTACACATGAAGTGTTACAGTCATGATTTATTAACACTACATGTCACTTATTTATTTGGCCTGAAAAGTAACAGGGTTTATTCTAGAAATTGGCTTATAAGAGTCCCTGAGTAAGTGTCCTGTGGGAACCCTTGTTATTTTGTAGGTTGTTATTTTTCAAAAAGATGGGCACAGATACACATTTAATAAGCTGAAACAATGAATAGGAATTCAAATCCACTCTTCTTTTGGTGTTATACTCATTACATTTTTTTCAACTGTTTTTGGTCCTTAGATAAGTTTAAACGGACACAGTCAGCTACAAAACCCTACTTATATAAAGTGTTTCCCTCAACACCAAATCAAATTTTCTACTGCAAAGCCAGTTGGCAACGGCAATGGAGTAAGACCTGCTGTTTTGGGAAGTTCCATCACACGGTATTAGTTTCCTAGGCTTAACATGGATAAAACCTACACAAATAGTAGAAGAAAAGGCCGGCAGTCTAGTAGCTTCACTGGAGGCAGTTCAACATCCTCTCAAGTTGACAAAAACTGAACACAAATTCAGCAAAAGTGCTTACTTGGAGAACGACAATAAATCTTGACCGCAAAAAACATGGTGGAATATATACTGCTCAAAATTTGAAACATATTTGAAAAACTGGGAAAACTGGACTACCTAGAATCTCTAATCAACAAAACCCTAAAAAATGGAAAATTATGGTCAAAACAACAGATATCGGTGAGGTGAGGGCAAGTAAGGGCAAGTATGCCAAGGTTGTCAAAAGTAGCCGGCTGCCAGTGAAAATCGTAGCCTATTTGGTTAGTAACAGCCGGCTACTCTGCTTAGCATTTCTTTACGGATGGCGTTTTTTAAATAAAATATCCCTGGACTGGCCGCTTACTTTGACAACTCAGCCGTCTACTTCAAGACTTTCTGACAACCCTGATATAAACTCTTCCTCATTTGATGGGTTGAAAGCTACCCAAGCACAAAGACAAAGAAGAATACAGGGCTGAAATGTCTTGCCTAAATAAAGAAATTGCCAACCAAGAAGCCTATTCAAGAAGCCGGGAAAATCAGCTTTTCGAAGGTATCAAAGAAGCCCTGGTTAGAGAAGGTAATTTTGAAGACACGGCATCAGTTCTGCTCTTGTTTCTATCATCGACCTTGAAGATTGATTGCCACAAGGAAATTGAATTTCAGAGGTTTCACCACCTTGAAGGAAAAAAAGTTCAAAAAAGCCTAGAATCAAAATTGCTCGCCTCCTTCGTTATGGTGATACACAAAGTAAAGCACAACTTGGCCAATCTCTTCAAGACAAGGATTCCACATTTTTGGAGATCTCACAAAATCAATAACGCTTTGCGCTATTTCTAAAAGTAGGCTTTGTCACCTTAGTGACACCTTAGTGTGACTCAGACAAACTGTGCATTCTACTCAAAGGCTTCGTATGAGCAACATGCATTTCCAACAAGAAAATTATTCATAAAATTCATAATGAGAGTTGTTTTAATGTTTTTTGAGCCTTATTCTAATATGTAAAAGGCATTACTGCTATAGGGATCAAGACCTGGTCTAGGTAACTCAAATAAATTGTTAAAATCAGAAAATATAGCGGCCTGATCAAAGAAGGCTACTGAAATCGGATCCCTACCTCTGTCTTAGTCAGATAGCACTCTATGCACCAAAGCATGACATAAAATTTCTGGCTGTGCAATACTTCAAAACCGAAATTGCTGAAGAGAAAATCAGGTTTGTATGTGCTCTCACTAGCCTGCGGCAGAATTTCTAAGCTGAAATGCACACCAACATTAGCACAAACCGGAAATTGTATAAGTTTGTTCTGTTGTTGTGCAGCCAGGTACATAGGTACCTTACGGTACTTTACATCCTTGTACTACTGTAAGTAGGGTAATATAAGCACTTGAAAAAAACATTGAGCAACCTTTGCCTATAAATTTAACCCAATGCAGCGTTTTATGAACAGCTTTGAAGCCCTGCTCACCATACATTCCTTAGTGAAAGGCTGTAACAGAATTTTACCCACAGTACTGACACCACATGAGAAATAAAAACACTCGTCTGCATACTTTTTTTCGATGTTTAACGTTGTTTTGGCACACATTGATTATTTTCAGGATATATATTATTGAAAACCAAGCTGGATTTTGTTTCTTTTCATGAAAAAAATCTTTCCAGATGACAAAAATTTGTTGGCGAACGTGACTTTCCCATACAAAACTCTTACTGTGATCAGGTTCAATATCTGAGTCACAGCAGGGACCAGAAATTTGTGAAATCATTAGTGCGAAGTGCTAATCAATGCAAGAGTCTAGGAAACAACAAATGCCTAAACCAAAAGCAGCTAGGAGGTAGAAGAAGGTAAGATTGCATATTTTCACCCAAGTAAGCCGGTCTAAGGTAAGCTCGTTAAAGAAGTAATGGTTGAGTCTGCTAAAACTTTCAGTTCATCAGAATGCTAATTTTGACAGTAGTCGTAAGTTTATTTAGATTTCCTATTTTTGTTTTCCTCCTTCAACTGACACTGCATTATTACTGTAGACACCATTAGAATTTTTAGGATTCAGCTATATACAGGGCTTGAAATTAAAAAAATCCTAAGGTCGCCTTTTAGCGACCAACTGAAGAAATATAGTCGCCAGTTGCAAATTTTTAGTCGCCACTTATAATGTAAATGATGCAGCTCAAAGTCAGGGCTTCTGATATTTCGCGTAGTCGCGGAGCCGCGAAATTCACAAAAACACGCAAAATAATTCGGTAGAAATCTTATCAAATACGTGTCTGTACAACATATTTGAAACTTATCTCAACCATTGGGGCTATTTACTTGCCGTAAACTTGAAAATTTATCTTGAAACTTTGTCACTAGCAAAAAGTACACGCAACATTCCAAAACTACCAGGAATAGATTATGTTGTGAAAAATTGGGCCCTAGCCATGATGTTTACAGCTTTGTCATTGGTTCATTTCTGGAACGTATTGTTGCTGAAAGAGCAAATGATGACCTCTTTTAGGAAAACGCTAAAAATGCTGGTCTGATCGGGGCAAAACCGATCAATCTGTGACGAAATTTTCCCTGAAAATAACCACAAATCCTGTGAAACTTGACTTTTTTTCAGCGACCTGTCAGAAGTTCTGCACAGTATGGCGCAATCCATCAGAGCCATCAGATTTGAAAATACCATGGATAGAAGTCGGTATAAATTTGGAGGTAAACTAGCTTTGTTTATAAGATTTGGCACATTTTTTATGGAGAAAACAAAGCAAGATAACGTGGAACGTTTGTTTTAACTCAATTCTTTTAATTTAATTCTAGACAATAGAGAAATCTGGTCGCCACTTTGTGAACTAAACCAGAATTTTTAGTCGCCAAGGAGAAAATTTTAGTCGCATTGGCGCCCGTATCAGTCGCAATTTCGAGCCCTGTATATATGTATGTATTTATGTTTCAACTTTATTTAAAGAGGATGACACTAAACAGTGAACTGACAAACTTGCGGCCCCCATTATGCAACAGTTAACAATTACAATTAAAAATATACATAGAATAATCTGCAAATTACAAAATTATTAAAAATACAGCAGTAAAAATACACATAATAAAAATTACAACAAAGGAAATTAAGAAGATGCAAAAAAAGTCAATTAAGACCTTTTTAAAACTATTTACACATTCAATCTTCTTTAATTAAAGAATTTGTCACTGCATTCCACAGTCTTGTTGCCCTTACACCAAAAGTACGCCCCCCCCCCACTTCCCCCACACTCGGTTTCACGCTTGAAGTGAGGGCAGACCAAGTTTAAGGAGCTACCGGTATTTCTGTTATTTTGATTATTAATGTCTGAATGTAACACCAAGAGATGACTCATATAGCCTGGGCTATGTTTGTGAACCTGAACAAAGATGTCCAACTTCACATCGAGGTGAAGTGGAAGCCAATCCAATCTCCTAAACAGTTCAACACTGTGTGACTAAAAATTGCTTACTACTTAGATGTGATTAAGCAAGCCCCAAGGATGGGAGTTGAGCCTGGAGTGGAGATTAAACTGCTCTATTTTTCTTTTCCTTTCCTTAAGTGGAAGTATGTTTGTATTGCTACGATCTAGAGCTACAGTCGGCGACAGAATTAGTTGAGACACTTTGCCCTAAAGCTGACGCTTTACTGACTTCCAGAGGAGAAATAAAGCTTTCCCTCCCCCCATCCCCTCCATGCAATGTTGTGCCACTGTTCAAGCTACCTATACAAAACAACAAAAACCGCAACTTTGAATGAAGGGGAGTGGGGAGGGAGGTAGATTCTTTTCTTCTCTGACTAGTTGAGTAAAATGCCTCAATAATTTTGTTGCTGATTGTAGTCTCCTAAACCTGAAGCGAAGTCACTTGATTTGTTGTGAGATGAGATAAAATCACTCAGGCTGGAAGGAGTGATGTTACATAAACTACTTAGAGATATATTGTAGAAAG